TTGCATCTTCTGGTGGAAGTTGTTCCCTAACATGTACAACTATTTTGGTTTTTTTAGGAGATGGAGTGAGTGCTAGACACAGTTCGTGATTTCGTACCACCTTCGACCATGGTACCATCCACCATTCCACAGTGATGTAGTTGGGGCCAAGCACTACTAAGTCCACTCCTCTAGTGTGAAGTGAGCAACAATCAGCATAGGCGATCAGCTATGAGTCAACCGGTGCCGGCCGGAGTAGTCCATCGGCACAGAATCCTTTAAATGCCAACAACTCCTTTTGGTTCGGTCCCTTGGGAAGGAATCAAGGGAATTGGATAGGAGGATCATAGACATCATCAGTTTCAGTTTCGAAAATAGGAATTCTGTGTGAAGGAGAGCAGATTTGGTTACAAAAACTACAGCCAATCCTGTTTTGGATGCATTAATTAACTAGAGACGGGTTTGATAATAGCTGAAGTGGCTCAATTGAATGTCTTATTGCAATAACTAAAAAGACAAAGCAATCAGTAATTCAATTAATACACTTCAGCAATCAGCAATTATCAACCAGTCCTGGATCTATCTCAATCTATGTGATGGATAGATCATGGATGAAGACAATAACCCAGTTTTTTATTGGAAAAGTACAGACAGACCCAATGCAGATTTCTGATTTCTACTGCAGAGCTATAAATATTCAAAATATCAATAACCCACATTCTATGCACCTTGGCATCAATTCCAAGCTGGCACCTACCCAGCCCAACAGTACTTTAAGCCTATAAATTCTGACCATGGGCTGAACCGTCTTTTTCCCATTTTTTATCGGGCTGAATCATAAACCCAAAGAGCTGTTTAACCTTCTAAAGTAAAATAACTATTTTCGCTTTGGGTCTGGGATACATAAACCATAATGGGCCCATGTCCAATAACATAGAACGAATTTCCCATGAAGTAAATATCAAATATTATAGCATTATTTCTTCGGTTCTGCCCATTATAGGAGAAACCAACTTTTTCATCCATTTTACATGGAAAAAGAAAATGCAACATAAGGAAATTTCTTTCCACCATCCAAATCAAAGCCATTACATTTGAATAATGGCTCCCTCATGGTTATAATCTTCTGCACGAGCTATTGATTGGTCTACCAGTTGCAACCCATCAAATAATGTCTCATCGTCTCTAAGAATGATTGTTTTTGTTGAAACTTTGGAGGTGCACTGAATTGATAAACTGAATATTTCGCCCAGTTTTATTTTAGATTATTCTGACATTACCAAATTTTCATTTGAGAATTCTTCTTACAATAAGGGGTTTTAAAAGCAATTACTTCAGAATTTTAAATATTGAAAGATATATTATTGCATTTCTTGATAGTCAAAATAATGAAATTTCATATTTTTCCACTAGGAATTTCACAAAATCCAAATGAGCACAACCTGCATTTTAGTGGAATGACCTCATTCTGGTGTTGTCCCACCTTGTAACTCACACATCACATAATTGTGTCTATGTTTATGCTACTTTATTTATGGTCATTTGAGACATAGATTTAGTATTATTGATGTATTCCAGGATTTATTTGAATTTCTCTCACATTTACATTCAAATTTCTCTCTTTTTTTGAGGAGAAGATATTTTAGGATCATGGATGGCTAAATATTAGGCAAAATCTATGTGCATTAACCGCACGATGTAGCAAAGATTGCGAACCAGTGATAAAACAATACATCACAACTTGTGAAATGTAAACCAATGAAAAGTAAGAAGACTATGTGACATTTTTAATGTAATTGGTTGAAATCTCGATTTAACATGCAGAAACAAAATCTATGTGACATTATTCTATTTCAAAGTTTTAAAAATTTGGATATCTCAAAAAAGTTTAAAATACAAAACGAGATATGTTGAGGTATTAAAATTCTATGTAAATATCTAAGATTTTGAACTACTCCATATTGTTTTTAGTGGTAAACTACCCTCAAAATACTTCTAATAAATTATCACATAACTAATACACCTCTTAAGTCCACCTTTCAGGTGCAATATGTCACAAGGATATAGACGAGCTAAGGGTAAGCCAAATAGAATTTGGAGGCAAGGACTAAAGTATCTAAAATGCAAAGAAGGCAATTTTAAGAAATGTATTAAAATACACATTGGATGAGCAAACATATGGTGGAAAATTACTATATTTTAGGAAAACTTGAGTAAATTCCAACCGATATACTAATAAAACTAAATCCAAATCTCCAATGGCCATAAACAAGGCATATACACATAGAAATCTATATCTTAATAATAGTCTATACCTTTTGTTAACATAATATTAATACAAAAAGTTGATTAAATGGCTTAGAGAGTTGAAACTCAAAAGTATATGCCATTTTAATTAGGGGTGTAAACGGATCAAATTCGAATCCGATTAAAAAATCTGATATTCGAATTTGATTCGATATCCGATGGATATTGAAAATTAATATCCGATTAAATATTTGAATATTCAATTCGATTCGAATTTGATTAATTATTTATTTTAGATAATTAATAAATGTATAAAATAAATATTTTATTAATATAAACTATATAAATATATAAATTATTTATATAACTTAATTGTTGTATATAAATTATATAAAATATTTTATATATTATATATAAGAATTAAATAATCGGTCAAATTCGGATATTTATCAAATTGAATCAGGTCATATCCAAATTCGAATCCGATTAACTATTTGGTAAGAATAGAATATTCGAATTCGACCGATTAAATATTCGAATTATCCGAATTTGATTTAATTATATCAAATATCAAATTCAAAATCACATTTTCAAATACCGTTGACACCTCTAATTCTAACAAATTATGATATCATAGCTTTGTAGAAGAATTTTATCTCTAATGTCTATTCTTTGTATTTGAGTCTAGAAAACTACATACGATTCACACTTGAGTAGTGGCTTCAGAATGGAATTGCGAAGCAGGATAAATGGATAATTCAGCTAAAGTAGGTTATATCTTAAAAGAAAACCTGTACTCAATCATTAAATTGATAACACTCAATTGGGTAATTTTTCCTTTCCTTTTAGAATGGAATTGTGAAACAGGATAAATGGAACTGACTTCAAGTGATAAACAAAACATGAAAGCCACTTCTCATACCAATGGAGCAGGATGGTACAGAAGCACCAAACATGCAATATAATTAAGTAATCAATAATGCCTTGGGAAATTTTCTGCAAAATAGTTGACTATAAAGGCAATAGTGGGAGCTCACTCACGTCTATTTCTCTTGCAACTTACACGCTGGCTCTAAGAAAGGCTCTATGTGTTTGATCGAGTGAAACTATGGTGAAGTTTTTGAGTCAGTTTGGATGGAGTATAAATACAAATAACTAGAGTGCAAAATCTTGTATTTTGTATTATTTTGCATGTATCTGTATTGTAAATATTTGTATTTATACTATTTTCAAATTGAACCTTAGGCTCCATTTGGAAAAGTACAAATACAAATATGTAGAGAACAAAACCCCTTATTTTATATTATTTTGTATATATTTGTACAGTACATATTTGTATTTGTACTCTTTCCGAACTGAACCTTAGTAAAAATGACTCCTAGGTGGACTGTTCATAGGCCAAGTGCAAAGCTCAGCCATAAACATTTTATACTGCTTTGGGCTAGGGCTTTGGGTTGGACCATTCAAATTTTGGTAAAAGCACAGCACGGGCCTGACCCATGAACAGGTATTACTCCCATGTGCATCATAGCATATGTCATTCTACAAGTTTTATGGAAGGAGAAATGTAGATATGTTTTGAAAGTTTAAACTCCCCCTCTCAGGTTTTGATAATTAAGGTTGTGTTTGATACCATTGCCACTTCCACTTGCAACATTTTAGGTTGGTCAATACAAATTTTATGAGAATATTTTTTTCTATCACAAATGTTTCGAATTCTCAATACAACATTGGATACCATTGATGCTTCTTTAGAAATGCCAAATTTGGTGTTTCTGCTATAAATGCCTATACGATTTTAGTAGAAATGGTTATCTGAAGTGATGTGACAAGACAATTTCTCAAAAATTTCTATTAACCATACAAAACATTACAAGTAAAAGTAACAATGATACCGAACACAACCCAAAGTTCTAAGGTTGGCAGTGGAAATTAGCTACACTATTGAAGACCTTAAGACCATTGATCCAAATTATTATGGTGTTGGTGACAAATTCCTTCTGAACTTCCATTTTGGACAAAAATTTTTCTGAACTTTCACTTTGTGATAAATACCCCCCTCTATCAGTTAACATAGAAGTTTCTTTCTGATAAATATAAATTTATAGTTTTATTTGTTTTAACTGGTTTCATTTGGAGAAACTGAACTAAGTGTATGCCGACATTTTGATAACTAATGCATTCCATCATCTAACTTTACGGCAGGGGGTATTTATCGCAGGATGTCTTTGTCACAAATGAAAATTCAAGGGGTATTTGTTGCTGACCCCCATAGTATTCAATTCACAGGGGTTATTTGATTGGTCAGTACCTAGTATAAAAGAAATCCTATTTTATATTATATTATAAAAAAGTTCGACTATAATATCAGAAAAATATGATATCTGAAAAATTTTTATCAGTTAAGTGATAACATAAACGTGATAGCCAATCAGATGTTATTTATCAAAATTAATGAATGGGTTTTGATTGATCAAAACTCTTTGGATATCTTGTCTTTCCCACATAAAAACTAAGTTCCCAAACGGACGTTTCTACTTCCTCAAAGCCATAAAATCAGTGATCAAGTTTGTGTTGAAACAAATACTTGAGGGCTGTTTTGAACCGACCCAAAACAATTCTTCATGTTTGCATCAGTTTTCACTCATGATGGGTTGGTTTGGTTTGCGAAACAAATTGCAACCAAACCAACCCTCCCCGTGTATAAAGTTGGGTTAAGAAAATTGGCTCTAAGAAAGGTGAGAAATTATAACCAAGCAGAAGAATAAAAAATGTTTAGGCCCAAAAACGAGAATATATGAATCATAAACAATCAAAAGCCAACCAGCCAGCAGCCAGCAGTTAATTGAGCCATGCGGAAGAATGAAAAAACTACATAAAATTAACAATGAACAGAAATGTCTGTCATGATTTACGTTCAATTACAATGCTGCCCCAAGTGGCGGGGGAAAAGCCTTCAAACTTTGCAAACAATCACTTCAAGCCAATTGGAATGACAGCTTTGGCCGAGATTTGTTCTTACCCAACTTCATCTGATTTGCCCGCTGTTCCTCCTCTTCCATTTTCTTCCTTCGCATAGCCTCTTCTTTTTGCCTTTGGAGCTGTTCCAGCTCTCTGTATCGCTCCTCCTCTTTCCGCTGCTGCTCTAAAGCTTCTCTTCTCTGAGACTCTTCCACCCTTCTTCGGTTCTCTTCAAGCATCCTATCCAGCTCTTCTCTCTCTTTTCGAGCTTGTTCCTATGAGATATCATAGCCCGAAATAAAACATTTGGACCATATACCAAGGTTAGGTAGAGATTTTCAGAGAAGCAAATTAAGACGTCATAAAATTCTCAAGATAATTATTATTTTCTTTTAACTATTTATTTTTTATTTTATTGCAAGAATCAAATGGCCATTGCCTAGTTTAGTAGTACAATCTTGAGCCGACAAGATTGCAGGTTTCAGTCTGAGGACAGCCACTTTGTGGGGGAATAAAAAGAAATGACGAAGGTAAGGTATGTTTCCAGTCCAGTCCACTCCTCCCATTACCCCACATAGCTGGGACCAACAATGCCCCCCCCCCAACCTTTTTTTTGCAAGATATGGAAGACCATTTGACTGAATCTGACTAAAATGCAACCAACACCTTAAACAAAACTGAAGCGTTTTGTATGAAATATAAAGAATTTATCAACGTTTGAGTAAATATTGGCACTACAAATTGTATTTTTTTAAGACTTAACCCCACTCCCCACCCCTAAAAAAACAGAAAAAAACAAAAAAACAAAAGAAGGAAAAAGAAATTGTCCTCGATCAAAGATAATTACCGCTTTCTGTCTAGCTTCAATAAGGGCGGCTTCCTTTTCCTTCTCAAGTTGAGCAGCGACCACATCAAGAAGTTTTTTCTGACCTTCCTCTATTCGCTTCTGTATTTCCAGTTTGACCTCCTCAGAATTCAATCTCTCTTCAACCTTTTTCCGAATTGCATCTTCAACTCTCCTTGTTGTTTCTTCTTCTAACAGTTTCAACTCTGCCTCACGTTGACGCCTGATAGAACAAGGGAAATATTAAAGAAGAATAATAACCCCCAATGCAGAAAAAGCTCACACTTTTTATTCCGAAGTACATTTTTTATACAAAAAATAACAGAATTGAATTAGCAAGTGGCATGGCAATTTTCATGTTTTTTTCCTCAGTATAATGAATGACCAACTAACCTCCACATCCACCGTGACACTACATACAGGCTTATGCTTTTAAGGCATACCTCTCTAACAGATTCCTGATCCATATATATGAGTTTTCAAACTGGTGAACAGTAGATAAACGAGGCAGCAATTGGATCATCAAATACAACAAGTTGAACTATAGCAGTAGCTTCCTTCAGAAAAGCCTGTGGAGAAGAATGTCAAGTAACCTGTTGAAGGTTTGAAACTAATCACGAAAAAATTTTTCAAACCTCTCATGTAAGTATAGTTTTGACACAAGCAAATTTTTATACATTCAAATATTCTCTATGTACTGATTATTGGTGACACAAGCACACAATGACAACAGCCAATGGTTACCAAACAACGGACAAGAAACATAAATTACCACTCAAAAGAGAGTGCTTAAATGCATCTTGCCATGAAAGGAACTTAAAAGCATCAGTCTCAAGGTAAAACAATCCCAATACAGCACCAGAAATGCAAGGGAGCCAGATTTATTTGCATCATTACTGATTCCATAAGAATCTCTCAAGTGTGTCAAACACAGGTTGTGGCCCCTATAAATGGGATGACAATGTTTACTGAAATTTCTCTGGCAACAAGGGAGCCCAGCCACTAAGCGGGTTTCTACTAAAAACCACCCAAGATTCATTTCATCATCATGAAAATGTTTCAAAGAAAAAAAAAATCTTCACATCTCCCCTCCAGGCCGCACAAAAAAAGTAAAATAAATAAATAAAGCAACCAACAAAAGAAAAGGAAGAGATAAAAAAAGGAAGAAAGGGGGTGAGACTTTGGTTGGGCCAACCCAACCCAAGCCCAATATATTTACATTTGTAACTGAGATATTCACGTGTATTATGTATGGTATATGAATATGAATATGTTTTAGTCAAAGAAGAGGAGAGGAGAAAGGGTGATGATAATTGATGGTGAATGTTGTTTATTTTGTAAAATTGCAACACTATGATATCTATGTATCATTTAAACATAACTGTGTGCTTGAATGAGTACAGTAGCATGTATCTATGCATATTTGTATATTTGATAGGTAAGGATCTAATCCTAACCCAACCAAACCAAGCCAAACCAGCCTGAGTTGCACCCTATTACTAGGTCATGCATAAACCATGTAAAAGAAGAGCATGCATCACAAGGAATACTATATGTTCCTGATATGGCAAACATAGGGACATGGTAAGGTTATCCAAACACAAGTTGAAAGCTGGTTTAGGCAAAAGGCAATCATATAAGACACAAAAAGTATATAACTATCATAAGCTCTACTGTTACTGAAGGTAAAACCTGTCAAAATTCAACTTCTAAAACCAAAATAGACAGAGTAAGGAATTTTTTCTTATAAATCAGCCTAAGATGAACAAGGGCCCAAGAGACGTGTGATAATGTCACACATAGCACAAGCAAAAGGAGTTCCCAATTAGTAAAAAGCCTAAAACAATATCATCAACAAGTTATATCACCAAAGTTTCCATATTGCACCATTGATTTTCAGGAACAATCCAAGAACACTTAACAAGCACCCTCACCTACAGCAAACTCCAGAGAATAGTATCATCTCATGTTTAATCCTTAATAATTTTATAAGGCATTATAATGTACAGATCTATCTGCATTCCTGGTTTTACAATCTAATGCTTCATAATATCCCTGTTCTTGTGACAAGCCAAATTCAATTACAGTTCACTCTCCCAACAGACATGTACACTGCCACTTTTCAGGTCAACACCCAACTCTTTAGTACAAAAACCATGAAATAGGTAACCAGTTCAACAGCAATCTAACAGCCACTACCAGTTCAAATCTCTTCAACTTCAAAGAAGGTTAAGATAAACCAATTCGGACAAAAAAATCCTGTCCATGATCCCAAGCAAAGCCAAGTTTCAAAGATATCCAGAAAGTGAGAACACAAAGGTGAGTCATTCACCTTGGAGTAATGATTAAGCCACATAACATGCATTGCTGATCAATGGCTACATTTTTTTATCAATAACTGCATTGCTTCATGTAAACTTTAATAGGCAGTATCACATTCTATTTGGTGAACTAGAGCTAATCTGTACTAATCTCAATTGGACATGACATTTAGCCATAAAGAAAGTTCTTTATTTTCCTGTTTCTCTTAGAGCCAAGATATTTTTTCTTTTCAAATTTTCATATTCCATAAGGTGCGTGCTTTCAATTGATGCATGAAGATGGCAAGTACCAAATTTAAACATTCATATTTGCCCCTTGGTGCACTATCTATGCTCAACCCAAAGACAAACCTCAAGGCTTACACCTCCAAACAGCTCTGAGAACATTGATCCAAATTAAGTCATTGACAATAAAAATTTTCCAAAATACACCACTTTTCGTTCATTTACTCAGGATCCAGGAGAGAAAATGCTCAAAGGTAAAAAACCTCCTTACTTGTTACTCAACCTCAAACTATCTAAATAATCACCATTTTCCATATCTCCATCTGTTAACAAGATGTCAAAGTTTTAAGACTTCGAATTGGTGTAGATGAAGAAAGCTAATTGATATAAAATAGATAACAATTGTTACTACTAAAAAATTATGACATGATTTCCCAAAAGAGGCTCCCTAGTCCCTAGTTCTGAAGATATTTCTTATCAATATGAACAACTCATGATATATATAATTCATATTTTTTGGATAAATAACTGAAGATGATATGCATATGAACAGTATGTAATATATTTATATGCCTCTGAAAAATGCATTATTTCCAAAACAGAACAGAAGTCAGACTATGAATTCCATAAAGACTGCACTTCTCTTCTAATGGGTAGGAAATAAAGTCAGACTCCTATAAAAGACTGGTCATTTCCTAATAGCCTCCAAAGACCAAAACTTAGGGTCCATTTGGTTTGCAGTTATAAATGGAATCACAATCAAAATCCCTTAGAATCGGAATCAAAATGGTCAATTCCCATAGTCTGTTTGGTTCAGACAGGAATCAAAATCAGAATTGGAATAAGCTGGAATGGGATTTCATTCCCAAGTAGGGGTGCTCACGGTTCGGTTAACCAAACCATGGGGCTCATTTTGTAACCAAACCGGTAGTACCGATTTTTGGAAAACCAGTAACCGGAACCTATAGGTTAACCGGTTGACTGGTTCGGTTAACCGTCGGTTCGGTTCATCAGTTTTTCGGTTTTCTAATTTGTACAATATTTATTATAAAAATATATATAAATATTAAATTTTAAATAATAAATAATATATCATATATCTATACTACTTTAAAAAGTACGAATAGCCTCAAGAATATTTCTGAAATTTTGTGATGACAAAACTTACCCCTTTATATTTAAATTTATTGACAAAAAATGAGGGCAAATAGGGTAATTAGTTATTGATATTAAATGAGTTGAAAAGAGTTAATTTTAAGATATTCAATGCATTCAATTATCTCTCATTAAATTCAGCATTTAAGGTATTAATTTGCATTCACCTTCATTGAATCATATAATTAAGGCTTCTTTGTTTCTTCTCATCATTAAATTCTATAATTTAATACATACATAATAAATTAACGATTTCAATACCATAAAAACTTATACATTTAAAATCTACCTAGAAAAAATAGTGTTTTCATCTAGGTGGTGGTAAGAAATTAAACCATTTGGGTCAAATGGGCCAATCCATGTTGCCACAATTAAATAATAAAATGAAAAAAAAAACATAGATATTAAAAATGTGAGAACTTTTTTAACATCATATATTTGACATATTAAACAATAATAAGCATGATAAACAATGTTTTGAAAACCGACCCGGAGGCCAACCCACTTTTGCCTTCGTGTCAAAGGTCACCAGTTTGACTGTCAAGGTCAAACGAGTCAAACTGCTTCGCGTCAACACTATGTGTGTGTGTAAAAATACATATTTTATCAATAAATAGTATAATTATGTTTTACATATATATTACATATAATATAAGTATTATGTAACATTTATTTATGTTTTTTAATTTCGTTTTAAATTTTTATTTATAAAAAATATTAAAATTTGCAATTTGGGGCGAAAAAGGGTTTTTTTCCCAAAAATAGCAAGGCAAGGCGCATAATGCTCTTGGGACGTATAGATTTTGAAAAGTTACTCAAAATAAAATAAAACAAAGATAATCCCAATCGGACATCGAAGTGCAAAGTTATGGCTTCCAAAGGTTGGCACATAATTAAGTGTGCAACCTGCGACTTGGTTACTGGGTTGAACAAGTCAATGGTTGAACCGCCCAAGTTAGACAGTTTTTAACCCAAAGGGGGGTGTTCAACAAAACCAAACCTAGTATTAAGGCTGAGTGGCAGTTCAAACAGTTCAATCGAGCCAATCAACAAGTTGAAAACATTGATTATAAATAAGAAATGTTTTTATGAATGATGAAAATGAAATGTAAAATTTAAAACCAATTGGAAGTAAAACTATTTTCCTATTATCTCTCATTAAATCTCATATCTAAGGTATATTCTCTTATTAAATCCTATATTTAAGATATATTTTTCTCATCATTAAATTCTACTAATTAAATCCACAACATTAATTTTAACAATGTAAAAATAAATATTTTCAAAAATAATTTGAAAACAAAACCATTTTCTTCCTTCTCGGTGGTGGGTAAACAATTCAACCATTTGAGGTCAAATCTGTCAATAAATAATGCCATAATTAAATAATAAAAAATTAAGATAAGTAAAATATATAATACAAAAAAGAACTGGCATGTCATTAATATTGTATATTCATTATACTGAACAAAAATAAGTATGAAATGTAAGAAGTATTTTTCTAAATGATGAAATGCCAAAATTAAAATCAAAATCAACCTATAAATGAAAAGATGTCATAGTCAAATAATAATATTTTAAAAATAGAAAATACAAAGAATCACAAAAAGTAAACATTATACATAAGATATAATTTTATCAATAATGAAAATGTAATACAAAATTTAATGTCAGCCTAGAAATTGAACTATTTTTCTTTTTGGGTCGTGGATTAGTGGTTTGGGTCAAATAGATTAATCGATGATAATAATAGTTAAATAATTAATATTTAAAAATATATAAGAAAGTACAAGTAATCAAAAGAATATATAAAAAATTATATGTTAATTATGTCAAACAAAAATTAAGTGTGATAACTAAAAATTATGTATATTATGTAGATGAAATATATAATTTAAAATTGATCTAAAAGTAAAGCTATTTTCTTATTTAAATGACAGGTCAATGATCCAAACTTTTCAAAGAAATTCATGTTGTCATAATTGAATAATAAATATTTAAAAAAAAAAGATAGAACACAAAAAGATAAAAAAGTACAGAGTTTTGTCAAAGACATTTCGGAACATTTCTAATGTTATATAATCATCACATTAAATAAAAATATTTGTTAAAATAAAAATTATTTTTATTAAAGACAGAAATGGAATACAAAATTTAGTAGTAGTAGTAGTAGTACTAATAATAATAATAATAATAATAATAATTGTTATTGTAATTTAAAATTTCTGTAGGTGCACATTTAGTACAAGTATTTAAGTTTATTTTTAACCATATTGTTACTTTTATTAATTTTTAGTTTCTATCCTAACTATGATATATCTAAAATTAAAGTAATTAATATGAAAAAAATTCATATGTGCAATGCACATGCTTAATTACTAGTTATAAATATATATATTTATATAAATAATACATATTTATTAATTTATAAAATATAAAAAATATATATAAAATACATAAATATATACAAAATATATAGAAATATATGTATGCCGGTCGGTTTGGCTAACCACCAGTTTTTTGTATTGGTTAACCGAAACCGAACAAGTCAGTTCAGTTAACCGATTTTTCGGTTCAGTTTCGGTCGGTTCGGTTTTTCGGTTTTTTTTGCTCACCCCTATTCCCAAGGGAGGGGGAGGGCATGGCCATTCCCTCAAATGGGGGAATGACATTCCGGAAGAAATGGGAATGGGATTCCAATTCCACCCAACCAAACAGTTGGAATCAGAATGACCCATTCCTATTCCGATTCCAGACCCGTATTCCCGTGAACCAAACGGCCCCTTATAGGAAAATCAGGAAAACCATGTTGGCACAGTAATACACTGGAATCCAATCATAACAGGTACAATAGTATCAGAACGTATTACAAATTTTTTTTACTCAACCTCTATAAAGCAAGCTATGCAGCCTATCTTCCAGCTCTCTTGTATAGAAAATTGATACACATATGGAACACTTCAATAATGAAACAAACTTGGAAGAACCACCAGATATACAAAATGAATCAAAACAAACATGGAAGTAGTTGATATACCTCTTCTTTTCTTCTTCATCTTTTTTCAATTTTTCAATGGTATTTTTGCGTTCTGTTGACCCAAGACTTGGACTACAAGACCTGTCTAGTGGAGAGAGTGTACTACTCCTACTTCTTTGTCTCTTGTACCGCCTTGGTGTTGGTGAACGACTTTTTCGGCGCCTTGGAGTTGGTGAACGGGTTCTGCGTCGTCGTGGAGAAATAGAACGGCTTTTTCTCCTGGTGAATAAAGTACAAGTTAGAAGAACAACACCCAAAGAAGCAATAAAATGGGAACTAAATAACAAACTACCCCACCACCTACCAAATTAAGTTTTACAACAGAACATCTATAGTTACCTCATACTGTTATGAATAACCTTTATGTGCTCCACCTTTTATCATGTGAAATCCACCAAATCAAGAAACCGTAGAATAGTAGAACCATAGTTGTCAAGGCGACAATATTTTATTGGTTGTTTTAGTTTTTATAAAAGAACTTGTTGCATGTTATCATGTTGTGAGGAAAGTAAAAACAAAACTAATCTTTGAGGGTTTCACTTTGGCAAATGAATCGAACTGAGGAAGAGGAGAGAACAACAGCCCTCCATTGTTCCGACACAGTCCTCCAAAGTCAAGGTGATCTTCTTCTTCTTCTTCTTAGTTGTGTTCTCTGTTTCCTAGTTTAAAACAGTGGTTACACCCCATTTTTCTCGTCTTCCTTTTTGTATCTTTTCTCCAAGTTTTTTGAATCAATTTATTGGACTAAAACAGGGGCTCCACCCCCTTCTTTTGTTATTAAATTTCCTGCATGTTTTCAGTTTTTTTTTCACATTATTGGTGTCTGAAACAGGGGCGGAACAGGGGCTCCGCCCCATTCTTTTATTCTTAATTTCTTGCATTTTTCACCAGCCCCCTACTTTCTTCTTCATTTTCTTCTTTTATTTTAGTATTTGTTCCCTATGTATTGTTGATCTAAAATAGGGGCTCCACCCCCTTCAGTTCTTTCAAGTTCTAACTTCTAACTTGCAAGTTGCAACTCTAATATATTGTTTTGCCTACTTGAAGCAACACTTCAAAAAGAAAATAGTTCAAAAGGGGTAGAAATTCATCGGCAAGCCTTATTTTTAAATAACATCACCTTGGCGAGGGCTAGGTGCCTGGGCACCCCATGGTCGCCTAGCCTCACCTTGGCACCTTGAAAACTATGAGTAGAACACCCTTCTTCACATATCACCTGCTTACTTCCTATATGCTTCGAAGAAACTACTCTTCTTTGACTATTTTAAAATGAATATATGTTCTTTATTTCATCACTCTCAAAAGTGTAGCTGTTATGCTACCATTTTTTTTAACCTTTTCCAGACTTGGGCTGAAAGAGGGGGGAAGGGGAGAGAGAGAGAGATTAACAGGACTCCAGCAGAGGCACAAGCCATGAAGCTTGATCATGTGAGAAGATGAAGTGATAACTGGAAGTCAAAATGTCAGACTGTGATAACATTATTGGACAAAAATATAGAATCAATATATCACAACCTGCAGGCTGCAATACTTAAAAACATGCTTTTTAAGAGTTTCAAATTCAATTACATGTGAAGGTGCTTTGTACAAAAAGACCACCACAGAGCTTTTTTCTTCTTTTTTACATCAATCGCAACATAAATACTAGTTTGGTCGCACCGATATTGATGGGTCCCAAAACCCAAGTAGCAAGCCCAAACAGTTTCTCCCCATAGTCTTTATCGGTTTCAAACATATCTGCACCTACTGGAACTTAATATACCTATAAATTACCAAACCGTTCATTCCCCTTCAAAACCATGAAAATTACTGAAGATATCAAAAGAAGCTCGAAAACATCAATTCATCATGGAAATCAAAACATCGAAGCGTCGTTGAAAGTTTCACCTTTATAGCATGAATAAACCAATCTAAGCATGAAGTAACTTCTGAACAAAGTTAAATAGTTTTAGAGGATCAGACTGAAGTGTATAAAAGCAAAGGGAAAGAGATCGGATACGTATTCTGTAGTTAATCAGTTTCTAATCGACTTCAGAACGAAAGACATGTATTAAAGAATAAAGATTACAACAACGGGTGATTATAAGGTTGGTTCTGTGAGATAGTAGTATCACCTGCTATGAGAATGCGAATATGGAGAACGGCTTCGGTCCCTTCTGCTTCTCCGGTTATGTCTGTGTGCAACAGGAGATGGAGAACGTCTCCTCCTGTACGCCGGCGAACGTGACAACGTCCGTGCCATCTCGTTTCTCCAGTTACATACAAAAATATCCAATCTTCAGTGCAAATTTTCTGCAAAATAAAGGCCGGCAACCAAGATTTTCCTAAAGCGATTCCCCTGAAAGACCTAGAAATAAGCAATCAACAAAAACAAAATCATCTAAAAGAAACATAAAAAAAAATAAGAAGAAGAAGATAAACATTGAGGAAACCATAAAAGGATTACCTCTAAAAATCAATCGGAAAGATCAGAGGCGCTATTGCAGAAAATTCCTCTTCCTGTTTAAACTCAAACTCTATTGAAAAATAAAAATTAAAAGAAAAAACCTTTAATTGAAACCCTACGAAGAGAGAAAGAGAACATGCATTCGAGGCATCGAAGATTGAGACCTTGTTTAAGCTCTCTGTCGCTCGATCGCTCTCTCGTTCACGGTAACCGGGAGCGGGAAGCCTGCTGCCCTGAGAAAACAAAGGGTCGTAATAGTCAAGCCAATCCGTAATGGCGTAATCGGCTTTTTATCGTTTGTAGTCAGGACCCGTGCGATGTACGATCTTTATTTATAAGCAAATTTTTTGATATAAGGCAATTTATAAGCAAAGATGTCAACGGGTCGGCACCTGCCTTAAAAAAACGGATCGGCACGGGTTTATTCAACCCTAACCCGACCCGAACCGACCTAACTTAAAAAATATACTAGCGGGGAACCATCTGAATGTCGTTTAGAGATATAATTTTTTACACCTATTTAAAAAGATACCATGGTTTTAAAAAATGACCCTTCTGGCTACCGGTTTTTGGATTAACGGTTTGACCATCCGATTTGAAAGGATGGCCTGTTCTGACAAAAAAAAAATGATTAAAAATAAAAAATGACCAAAAACTGTTGAACAGATCGATGGTTTGATCGTTAGGGCCAACGGGTTGTTGATTAATTCAATGATTTTTGGCTAGGGACTAGGTTTGGGGTAAAATGGAATCGGTTGCCTGAACGATTCCTAGGCCAAACGGTCCAACCGTCCAAGTCAATGGCAATTCGAAAACCATGGGAGATACAATAATAAATTAGATTATATTTTTTTAAATAAAATTACTATAACTATATTATTATGAATAATAAACAACAACATAGGACGAGTCTTGAACGGATTTTTAATTGGGATCAAATCATAGACCTCATTATATTGAAAACAATAGTCAAAATAATACTAATATATTTTTATGTTAATAAGTTAAACAGATTTAACTAATATTATCTTATTTATTATTTATCAAGTTTACTATTTCAAACATGAAACATGAAAAAAAATACAAGAAAGATAAAAAAATTATATATTTCATAAAATTTTTGGTTTCGGACCTGAATCAATTTTGGACAAGTAAGAATGAGAATCAATCCAATAATTAATCAAGACAAAATCATGGAACAAAAACCGTTATAATTATGTTTAATCAATTTAGCTCCATCAAGATAGACCCAATGCATTGGTTCAGCCCAAGGTTTTCTTAAATAAATTAAATAAATAAATAAAAGTCTATTGGGATGGGACTAGTATAGGCTATCTCGAATTAGACCCGACCCGTTGACAACACTAAATATTAGGCTCAAGGGGAGAGAATAATTTGTTAGTAAATTATTTCTAAATAAATAAATAATTTAGTAAAATAAATAAATAAATGTTTATTGAAATCTATCTCTCAATGTCACATCTCTTTTATTCTATCAATTTATTTTATTTTATTAAAATAAATAATTTATTTAATTTTATTAAATAAATAAATGTTTAGATAATAATAATAAAATACATGAATAAATAAAAGTTGAGATAAAGAATAGAAGAGAAAGAGAGTTGAGAAAGAAGAGGAATGACATTTTATTTATAGGATGTCATAATCGTAAATAATTGTATGTGGCACTACTATAATTTTCAAATGTCATTGAGTTAAATATATAAGGAGATTTGTCTTATATGTGGCCTTGCTCTAATTTTTGAATATTATAGAGGCAATTATATAAAAAGGTTTGCCTTGTATGTAGCATTCTTGTAATTTTCCAGACAAAGAGAGGTGGGAGAAAAGAGAGAACAAAGAAAAGAAGGGAGAGAGAGACGCATGTCAATAATTTTGAGAACAAAAAACATATAAATGTCAACCTTACAATGCTGCCCTATACCCTCCCAATGCTTTAAGTAAATAGATAGATAGAAAGCGTTTGACAAGTCCTTTTAAGAAGATTTTTCAAAAGCTTAAGACCTTAAAAGATTAATGAACTTTCATAAGTAGATCTTCAAAGACCAAAGACCCTTTGTTAGCAATTTTTTAAAGATCTCTTCAAAAGCCAGAAAGACTAAAAGACTTGTTTGGCAAATATACATGCCAGTCCCTCTTACATATATGCTAAATGTTATATTTAGGACATGTAACACATTCGAACATGCAAATATTACCTGCTATTGTCATTTAACTTCGCAAAACATTATCTGCTATCCTAACAACTCAACGATCCTAGTGATTTTGAATTGAAGTCACCAACGAAGGAAGCAAAAGTGAAGACAAGGAACAAAGCTCTATAAGAATTTTGATTCCATGCAATCAGTCATCTACTACATCACTAAGAATTAATGACGTACCAAGGAGTATCTATCACTATTATATTTTACTCTATTTTACCGAATTTGTTACTTAGTTGAATAGTTTTGTTCATCTTTAGATGATCGTAAACATACTGAATCGAGTTACATATGTAGTGTTGATGTAGTTACTTTAATATGCTTCCTACTATATTTGCCTTTTTAGTCTAGTTTTTTTTATTAAAGAGCCTTGTTAGTCTAGTTACACCCTGACTTGCTTGTTGGGTTTCTTTCTCTTTGATTTTAATATTGAACTAGAATGCTATCTAGTCTTAATTTATATTAGTTCTAGTCTTTTCTAAAAGTCTTTTTGAACTTTTGTGCATTCATTTGATGTTACTTTCATCTAGTTTCTCCTCGTTACTTGCAGCCACTTGGTGGCGAAAGATATCTCTCTTAGGTAGGTGTCATTATTCCAAGATTTAGTAAATCAATCTTCATTTTTTTTATCTTTATTCCACTCTTTCTTTTACTTTCTAGATTCACCAGCTTTCCCGCTTCTCCTTCCTTTCTCCTGGTCTTCTTCTTCCTACACTCAACCATGGATGATTTAAATGCCCTAAATGAAGATTTTCAAAATATCCTCCATGCTAATAATATTCTGGGTATTGATCTTGTTGATATTCATCCACAACTTCCTGAAAATCTCCAAGATGACTAGAATTTCTCCTTCATTTGTCACTTATTTCCTCACCTTACTTATCAATTCTCTGAACTTGAACATGGCCTTTACACTCTTTGGAACTTAGACCTGAGTCATCTCCTTATAACACCCTTTCAACGAGCCATTTCCGGTTATGATTCAAGTATGAGGAAGATTTAATTCGAGTTAGAGACAATGGACCTTGGATGCTTAGTGGTCAGTGGATTGTTATCAAACCTTGGGTGCCTAGTACACCCCAATATGAATGGCAACTTAATCAAATTGAAGTTTGGGTTAAGCTACATTATCTCCCATATAAAATTCTTTCAGAAGACATAGGTAGACACATCTTTGAACATATAGGCCCTACTCGTCATATTGTGGTCATTCAAAACTATATCCGTGCCAAGGTCTACATTACAATCAACCAACCTCTTAAAACTAGTTATTTTTACATTATTATGAACTAGGTGTCTTTTTGGTATGAAGATCTCCCCTCAACTTGTTACCTTTGTGGTCGAGTCAGACATCTCTATCGACACTGTTCACAACCTCTCCTCCACATTCCTGGTAAATCTTTTGAACAATATTTCAATCAAAGGTCTATGCATCGTCTCGGTCCTTGGTTGAGAGCTGAAATTCCTATGTGATAGAACTAGCGTCACCCCTCTTTCCGTAACTTTGTCCATATTCCTGTTCAACCAGACAATGAGATAACTCTCCTGATGACTTCACAACCTATTACACCCCCATCACGCATCTTCTAATTCTGATTCCACCCTAGTTAGAGTTGCATCCTCTCTCTCTCTACCACCCCCATCACACATCTTCTAATCCTGATTCCACCCTAGTTAGAGTTGCATCATCTCTCTCTCTACTTCAGACCTTTCCACTAATAATCCTCCCTCCATGAGAGTTTCCTCAAAAACTTACCATCTAGCCCAACAGACTCAGAATAACCTTACCAATCTACTCTTTTCGGATACTATGGCCGCCTCCTCTTCCAAGGGAAAACATCCTCAAATTGATCTTCTAGAAAATCTTGAGATTGAAGATACTCTTGATCTACCCATCTATGAAAGGCCTGAATCTTCCACTAGAAGTAACCAAACCGACATAATACTTACTATTGTTCAATCTAATATGGAAATTGACAATGAGCTGGCCTACCAAAATCGAGAAACAATCGTTGGAGAAGATCTTCCTACAAGTGCATTAGAACTGGTAAGTTATCTCTTTTTACCTTTTTACTCCTTTTTATTGAACAAGGCGGTGGTGGCTAGCCCTCAACAGCCACAAACACCGTCAATGTTGATTATGAGCTAGAACTGCCGTGACGCAGAGCGTCCTAAGGCAGTTCTAGGTCTAGGAATTTTCGTTAAAAATTATAACCCAGATTTTATCTTCCTGTGTAAAATCAAAATTCCATCAAATAAAATGCAAAATTTAGCTAATCGTTTTCACTACTCTAATTCTTACTTAGTTCCTCCTGAAGGACATGCCAGAGGATTAGCTATTTTTTGGAAAATTGGCATCAATGTTTCTCTCTTTTTGGTTCATTTGAAGTATGTTTTTATAGCCCATCATAAAAGTCCATAGAAATAAGTTCTGGTCAAATCTTAATCAATGGCTACAGTTTATAAACCTACATTTTTTATTTATTGGAGACTTTAATAAGGCAGATACAATCATAATTCAAGACCCATCTTCCTTTGACAGATCTTCTAGACTTATTTCATCGTAGTACCATAACTTAATATTAGACCAAAATCTTATTGAAATCAATATTCAAGGTGGTAAACTTAGTTGGTCTAATAAATGATCTGTTGGACTTATTAGTAGAACTCTTGATAGAGCTTTAGCTACTCCTGATTGAATTTCAGCATTTCCATATGCTATTCTTAATTTATCTACTCGTTGGGGTTCTAATCATACTCTTATTCTAGATATCACTCCTAAAAAAACCAATATCCAAAACCCTTTAGGTTTTATGAAATGTGGTTATTGGATGATTCTTGTAGAGATGTAATTCAAAATGGAAGGAATCTTCAAATATCTAGTTATGCTGCCTATAGACTCTACTTGAGGATGGATCATATTAAAGCTAACCTAAATAGTTGGCAAAAATCAAAGTTTATTGATCCTCAACACAAATTAAGTGAATTAGGAACCCAGATTATTCAAGTGAAACCATCTACCCCTTGGGATCAAACAAAAGTTGTCTTTATATA